TGCTCTTGCGACGACGGAGTCTTTGCTGCCTTGGAAATGTCCTCGTTGATGTGAACGTCGCTCTCCGAGTACTGGCACAGTGGGTTGGACGGACCGTGGCCAAGCATCTTGGGCTCGCCGTTGGCGTTACCCTGTGACCACTGGCACACCTTGACGGTGGCCTTGCTCGACTTGACCCAGACGTTGCTGAGTGTGGCCTGGTCGCCCCAGTTCTTGTTGACTGTCACGATGGCGTTGGTCGGGTTGAGGACGTACGTGTTGGACACGGACACCTTCTTGGGTCGGTTGCCACAGGTGCCGCATGAGCGGTAGAGCTTGCTGATGTCCTCGCCGTAGAAGCCGTCGATCTCGACCGTACCGAAGCCGTTGTGCTGGATGACCTTATCGTCGGCGTAACGGGCACCGCCACCGATGACCTTGGTCACACTGGACGCAGTTCCGCCCTTGACACTGAGAGCGTCCTCGCACACATCATCCCACCACACGTTTTCGATAATGCAGTCATGCTTGTCGCAGTGCACGCCCTCCATTTGGTTCTTGCCGATGATGACATTCTTGAGGTGGCCGCCGGCCTCCACTTTGAACACCGCCGTGTCCGATCCGCTTTCGGTTTGGCCCTCGCACGACACGTCGGAGCGCTCGAACGTCTTCATCTTGCCGTCGAAGACCTCACCGGCCTTGACGATGTAGGCCTGCGAGTACTGCACGGTGCCCTTGCTGGCGGGCCACGACCCATTCGGCAAAGAAGCGGAGGTGGCAACCGCAAGGAGGAGAGCGGCAGACGTCACGAACGACGCGAAGGACTTGACCATCTTGGACTGGTGTGGGGGTGCTTGGCCACTTGTTGCCCGAGAGGCGAATTGATTAATGAGCAGAAGCAACTCAATCGTTTTAGTCACAGCGACCACCAAGGAGCCATGACCGTGTGTAAGGCGACGCGACTCGGCGGCAACAGTGATGCGGTTTACTGACTGGTTGCAGTCTCCATTGCAGACTCTCCATTGCAGACTCTCCATTGCAGACGCTATTCAACGTCGTAAAACCGCAAAGATCTGGAGTCCCAGTTGTTTTCCCGGGGTCATGCTGCTGGTTGCGGTCTGCGGTGGACCGAGGGTTGGCTCGTTTTGCCTAGAAGGCAAATCCGTGACGATCGATCATCTCTGTGAACTTGACACGGCCGGTCAATGCTGTGGTAGCGACTTGACGCTTTTTGCTATTCGAACGGTGCCGTTTTAATTTGCTACTTCCGACTGGTACGTGTGTCGTGGGCGTTGTCGTATAATAGTACGTGGGCGTTGTCGTATAATAGTACGTGTATACTACGACAACTCCCACAATGCATTACTTTGGAAGTGGTGTGGCTGAAACTCTACGTTCGCGAAGGCGTGCATTCTGTTCAAGTCTTGTCCTAGCTATTGAGTACATGTACGGTACTAGAAATTGTTTGCGCTTATTAATAGACCCGAGCCTTGGCCGTCCAGCAGGTGCAGGCTAAAAAAAAATCGATGGGGATTACTCCCGAGTCGCCCGTTCAGTCTGGCGCGAAGGAATCTCCTTCTTGACCTGGCAATCATCGCTTCGCCCCGGTTGGGCGTTACGTTGTCTAGTTCGAAATACCATGTGTGCCCGGGCTTCAGATCCTGGCTGATCGTTGTTTCCTCCCTTTCGTACAAGTTGCTGCCACGTTGATTCAATGCATGAGGGCAGGTTTTCGTGAGATTATTTTGGTTGTTTTGCCTCCAAATGCATGGGTGACGAAATTGGTGTATTCGTACGGGCACTTCAATAGCCTGCGAAGCAAGGTTGCATTTGAGTATTCACTGGAAGTGGAACGATTAAGGTAAGGCGTTTAGCGGGTGCCTGTGATGATCAGCTCATTGAAAAGTGTACATGCTCGCATATCAACACTTCCGTTCTTCACAACGAAGAAGCTGATACAGTATATGCATCGCACTCGTCGTCGTGCTGTTCGTGTAGGCAACAGCGGAGCACGACTTCGGTGGGAAACCTGGGCAACCGATATTGAAATAAACGAGGCTCCCCTCGTACTCAGCGCGTCGCCGTCCACAACCTCGGTGTGGATGGATACCCACGCATGGTGCTCGAGAACATCATAGATCGGCGATTAACACGACTAATGCAACAGATGCTTCAGATCGCTCGTGCGGACAACAAGATGGTATGCTCTATGTGTTTATTTGGTAAAGTATACCGTCTATTTCTCAATATACTGTCTATTTTTCAAAATAGTCGGTATTCCTAATAAATTTAAATTTTTGATATCTTTTAAGATAAAAAAGATTTTTCTGTGTAATACAGAATACGATTATTTTGCCCAGCTCCATTGTTATATTTTGTATGATGTGCAGAGTGTTGGTCGGGTTGAACATTTACAATAAAACAATCGAAGTAT